ATATTAAAATACCCATACAAGTTACTAAAAAAACAAGTCCGTCTCTTCTCAAAATCGTTTTTCATACGCAATGATTTATCATATAGTTATTGTATAAAAAAAAATGCTAACATATCCATTACAGTGACTCAATAATGTGGTACACACAAGTACACAACACTTATACAGCACTACAGCAGTAGATTTTTAAACTATTTTAAAACTAAAAACAATTACCCTCATCCATCCAACCCTTGGAATTCAATACTTTTAGTTTCTTTATCAAACATTTTAATGTCGATGACATCCCATAGTTTTCCATAGAGGATACAAGTTTATTGATTTTTTTGTTCAAATCATACGAGTATGACGTCTGGAAAAAAAACTATTTATATTAAACAATTTCTTCGTAGCAATTTTTTGTTGTTACTTTTGATAATATTAGCCCAACTGATTGTAATATTATACACAAACAGTGCATTTGTAGTTCATAGTTGTTGTCATTCTTCTCTTTACCTAAATCTCCAATGCACTTGAGTATATACTTTTCTGGGAACGCGCCGTTTTTAAACAGTTCGCCAATAAATCTATCAAAAGTAATAATTTACATAAATAAAAATAACGAAAGTGTTAATTAAATAATACTAATTCAAAACACACCTGCAATTGCATATGGATCTTTTCTGGAAATCGAATAGAAAATTATTTAAAACAACGGATAAACACTTCTTCGGTACCTGGTAAATAAATAATAGTATGTATAAGTATTATTGAACCAACTTCTAAAAATTAGTAAACTTATTTTGAATTCAGAATTACATATAATTTCATACAGGATTTAGGAATAAAAATAAAACGTATAAAGGTATTTTAATAATATGTTGAGAACCATAGATGATAATAATCATAAGTCATAACAAAATATAATGACAACATAACTATATTTACCATATTATCATTTTTCATTGTATCTTTTAATTTATTCAATTCTTCTTGATAGTTTGAATAAAAAACATCGTGACATTTTTTTAATAACACTTTTTGAAATGTTATTTCTGTATCGGTAGCAATAAGATTATTAAACTTGGAGTCATTGATCAAACGTGCACACATCTGAGCGTATATGTGTGTATAATTTTGTCTTTTTAAAACCTAGATGGATATAACGATAATGCAATAGATAAAATAAAACGCAATGATAATATTATACAAGTTCAATTAGAAGTTAGAACTATAATCAATATTAATTTAATATACATACTCGATCAAATATTATATTTGTTATGTCATCGAGTAGTTTAACATTATTTATTGGCAAAGCCATCATTTTTTGTGTCATCTTAACCCAGTTGACATCATTTAAATGGTAAACAATCGATCTTACAGTATTTAACACTTGCTAAAATAATACAAATTAAAAAAATTGATGATTAAAATGTATAAATATATAGAGACTAAATAACACTTAATATTGCATGAATAATAAATAAAAACTATTCTATCTCTAATTGTGTAAATTAATACACTATATATATATATATGCTTATGTTCATCCAGGCTGAATTTAGTTGAAAATAGCAATCTAATGACACATAGGTATCTTGTCTATATTCCTACCGTTTAATTGTGGTGCTGATTATTGTTTTCGTCAGGTTAGAATGTTGGATTAAATATTATGTAATAATGAACAATTTAACTTATTTATAACATATTATAAAAATTATATATAAAAGAAGCATTAAAATGTTATAAATGTGTAACATTGTGTATAACATTGAATACTTACATCAGAGTTATTTTTTTGTTCCATAATTACTTTTTTTTTCAATCTTATGAACCTCAAATCTTCAGTACAAACAAAAAACTGAAAATAAAATAAAGAAAATTATAAGAAAGAAACAGATTTAAATTTAATAATAATAATAAATGAATACAACATTTTATTTAGAAACTGATTGTAATAAAACTCAAATAATATAATGTTAAATCAAAAATTTAATTATTTACCACTTTGTGTACGTATTATTATAGTCCTAACTTAATTTTTCATAATGGCTCAGATTTGTATTATTATTATAATAATCATTACAATATTACCATTAAAGAAATTACATTTTTCATACATTATATTACATTGAATTGGAAATCCATATAACTTAAGACGAAACTAATAGATACATTTTAAACAGTGTTGAACTGTTGAAGAATAGATATTTGTGTTGAACTATATGAATAATATTGTAACAATTTTTTTAAATAAAATCAAAATTTTGTTTCATTCTTCCAAGTATTAGGTATTTTCAAGTCCAATTTATCTAATTGTTATTTAGTAAACCAAGTACAAAAAAATCAAGAATGCTCATCGATAAATATGGTCTGCAGACATACCTAGTTCGGAGTTTCGGACTCAAGATTATTTTTTCGGTAATATTATATTATAAATTGTAATCATGAAATACCTACTATTTACTACTTAGTACAATTATGATTATGCTAAAAAGTACTAATTCTATATAATTATCCATACAATTACAATATTACTGTCACATAAAATAATTAATGTACCTTACTTGTAGTTACTTGTGTATAGAGTATTAATTACTAGTTCGTATAATCTTCAGTTGACACGTAGGTATTAATCAATAGAAACGGACTTTACTGCAGGTCTGAACTCAATGACGATAATTGGAAAATGAGTACTAAATACTAATGCAGGTATAATATGTTTATATTATTATGTTGCCAAGTATTTGTTATTATACATAACACACCAATAGCAACCATTTAAATTACTGCTTAATAACAATATTATACGCTAATGCAGGCCAAGTATTAAACTATACCTAGCAATTAACAATGGTTAAAAACTCACTGAATAGGTGCACAACTTAAGTCACCCAAATGTCTATACTATATAGTTACTATATTTAGGAACTACCACAGAACAAGAACTGCAGTTTACTATAATACTATACTTTCTCGATCAATATATAGAACACTCGTGTCTCGCTGCAGTGTATTGTGTACGCAGAAAACCATAAAACAACAAAATTATAAAGGTTATATTATTATAGTTTATATCTCAGACATCCTTGCGCCGAGGTGATGTTTGGATACGGCACTGTTAAAAAGTGTGCCATCTTAACCTGCTTAAAGTGGGCAGATTGGTCCAGATTTATCGAACAGAAATGTGCGGTTATTAGAGTCAACGGTTTGAATTATCGATTTCAAACGATGTGTGTCCTACACAATTTTGAAATACGTAGAAGTACAGATGTCTTAGGTACCGACTAAACCGACCACGAGCATATATATCACGGAGGATCAGCAGTCGTTCATGGCCAGCTCTCAAGCCGGGTTCACACTACACCTTGTCGAGTGATTTCGTATTTGTACGTTTATACCAAAATGCAATACCAATGATATTAATATTGTATCTGATGATAACATATTATATTATTTTATTTTAGCTATCACTTTTCCGCACATAAATGTAACCACACGGTCAAAAATTGAATACATTCAACTTTGCAGTATCGTTTGGTAACTGTGCAGGTGGTAACATGTGATTATTTTACACTTCACAGTGTAGTGTGAACCCGCACTTGGCTTCAGGTACTATCTGAAAGTGGTCGTTTTCGGCATGCATATATCTATTATATAAAAATAAGTCCGGTTTTCCTCCCTGACGCTATAACTCGAGAACGCACGAACCGATTTCCACGGTTTTGCATTCGTTGGAAAGGTCTTGGGCTCCGTGAGGTTTATAGCAAAGAAAATTCTGGAAAATTCAGGAAAAATTCAACAGAAAAGTGGGGAAATCGTTTTTCACATACAGCGCCATCTATTATACATAGCATGTACTTCAAACCAATAGCAACGGTGCGTGATAAAGTGTTTGACGGATAGTTGTTTATTATATAGTTGACGGATAGTTGTTTACATTATTCTCTGCTCAGTTAATTTCATTTAAGCTAAAATAAATTATGTAAATTATGTGGATCGTGCATTTGAAGTTAAATTCAACACTCTGTCCATAGTCCAAAATGCCTAGAGAACGACGTGCGAACATCGGCCGCCGCACAAGACATGCAAGCCAGCAACAAGTATATTCAAGGAACTTAAGAGAAGAAAGACAAAATATAATAAGAGAAAATGACCGATTGAGACATCGCGTGAGCACACGAAGATCATTGGCATCATACAATCGCTTGGCATTCCAATATGATCCCACTGCGAACTACAGTGATGATGAAAATTTTGATATTGGACGAATGACGACTATATGCCGATATTGCAATGCGTTAAAGTTCAAAAGAGAAACGGTTGGATTGTGCTGCGCAAGTGGAAAAGTCAAACTGGATCCATTACTTACACCACCACATCCACTGAAAACATTGTTTGATGGAAGTGATCCCGATTCCAGCCATTTTCTTCAACACATCCTTGAATACAATAACTGCTTTCGCATGACTTCCTTTGGAGCTAATATCATTCGAGAAGGCGGCTCCATGCCGACTTGCAAGGTAAAAGATACAACACACATAACCAACACATAATTGCAACACATAACAACTTCATATACACCACACACTACACAAACACACGATTTAAAAGGTATTCATGAACAAATTTTAATGATTATTTGCAATTACAGATACAAGGTCAAATATATCATTTGCATGGTTCAATGGTGCCAACCACACCAGATGAACCGCATCAATTTCTGCAAATATATTTCATTTCGTCGATGGTGGATCAGCTGAACGTGCGGTGCAATATACAGGGAGCACAACAGTTAAAGAGACGAATTATTGAACAGTTGCAAGCATTTTTTCACGCTAATAATGCTGTGGTTAATATGTTCAAAACAGCATTGGAACGAATGCCATCGGATACGCACAAATTTGTCATAAGAGCGGATTGTACTGGAAAATGGCCAAAGAGTTTACTTCACTGAGGCTAATGCGGCACAACGAGCTGAGAGACCACCATCGACAACATTGACTAGCTTCTTTGCAATGTGTGAATCAGATCCATTCGCAGCGACGCTGATGTACGTTGAAATGCCCAAGTATTACACTTGGAATCAATCAACAAAGAAATTCCAACGTCGCAAACAAGGAACCCCAGTTCCAGACTGGCCACAGGTGTTTTCAACTGATGCACTAGGTCGTATGTACACTGTTCATCCTAGAAACGATGAATGTTTTTATTTGCGACTGCTGTTAGTAAATGTACGTGGACCGAAATCATTTGCGCATTTGAAAACTGTGAATGGCCACCAATGCCAAACATATCGAGAAGCATGTCAACTATTGGGTTTGATGGAGAACGATTCTCATTGGGATTTAACACTTGAGGATTCAGTTGTTTCATCAAATGCGTACCAAATACGAACGCTGTTCGCAATTATCATCACCACATGTTTTCCTTCACAACCAATTCAGTTATGGAACAAATACAAATACGCCATATGTGAAGATATCTTGCATCGCTTGCGTATTCAAACGAATAATCCTGACATCCAAATAACCGATGAAATCTACAATGAAGGATTGATTCTGATTGAGGATCAATGCTTGACTATTGCAAACAAGCTACTGATTGAAGTAGGAATGATTGCGCCAAATCGATCGATGCACGATGCATTCAACCAAGAATTAAATCGAGAGCTGCAATACAATGTTGATACATTGCAGGAATTCGTTAGAAATAATGTTCCGTTGCTGAATGAACAGCAAAAACAAGTATACAAAACATTAATGCAAGCGGTGGACAATAATACCGGTGGTCTATTCTTCCTGGATGCACCTGGAGGAACAGGGAAAACATTTGTCATTTCATTGATTTTGGCCACTATTCGATCAAGATGTGACATAGCTTTGGCGTTAGCATCATCTGGAATTGCGGCGACTCTTCTAGATGGCGGTCGTACTGCACATTCTGCGCTTAAGTTGCCACTCAATTTAAACACAATGATACTCCAACGTGCAATATTTCCCGATCCAGTGCAATGGGAAAATTGTTAATGCAATGCAAGCTCATTGTTTGGGATGAGTGCACAATGGCACATAAGAAATCACTTGAAGCACTTAACTTCACACTGAAGGATCTTCGGAGAAATAACAACATCTTTGGCGGCTTGATGATATTGTTGGCAGGCGATTTCAGGCAGACGTTGCCAGTAGTTCCCCGTGGAACGCCTGCAGATGAATTGAATGCTTGCCTAAAGGCATCACCTTTATGGAATAACGTAAAAACATTATCGCTAACCACTAATATGAGAGTTCAACTTCAAAATGATCAAAGTGCTGCACAATTTTCCAAACAATTGTTAGATCTTGGAAATGGAAAAGTCCCAGTTGATGCGACATCTGGATTAATTACTCTTACCAACGACTTTTGCCGATTTGTAGACACTCAATTAGTTCTTATTGAAAATGTTTTCCCAAACATTAGTGAGAATTATAAGAATTATGCTTGGTTAAGTCAACGAGCAATTCTTGCAGCAAAGAATAATGATGTCCACGCACTGAATTTCACCATTCAATCAAAAATTGCTGGCGATTTGGTGACATACAAATCCGTTGATTCAATAACAAATCCCGATGATGTAGTAAATTATCCAACGGAGTTTTTGAACTCTCTGGAGATACCAGGATTTCCACCACATAACTTGCAACTGAAAGTTGGTACAGTTATTTTGATACTGCGTAATTTGAATCCACCGCGACTTTGCAACGGTACTCGACTTTCGGTAAAGAGACTTATGCCGAATTTAATTGAGGCAACCATTATTAACGGAAAGTACGCAGGTGAAAATGTATGTATTCCTCGAATACCAATGATTCCGACTGATCTTCCGTTTGACTTCAAACGATTGCAATTCCCAGTTCGTCTTGCGTTCGCAATGACAATTAATAAGTCGCAAGGCCAATCGCTTAGTGTTTGCGGGATAAATTTGGAAAATCATTGTTTTTCACATGGACAGTTATACGTTGCGTGTTCACGAGTTGGGAAACCATCCGCTTTGTTTGTGTTAACGTCAAACCAAAAAACAAAAAATGTGGTTTACCAAAGAGCACTACAATGAAACAATTAAATAACACTTCATTTTAGTAGGTAATTGAAATGAATTTATTACTGTTGTGAAATGAAATAAATATTTTCCTTTTCAAATATATAACAAAAAAAATTTTTTTTCTTTATATTTTAATCACCAAACGAAAAAAAACATAAAACGAATCTGGTGGCGAAACGGAGTTCGCCGGGTCTGCTAGTTAGTTATATATATCAGACTCAGCATTGAAGCTCGGACGAATGTAGGTATATAATATTTAAAAATTATAAATATACTAGCTGATCCTGTGCACTTCGTAGCCCGTTAAATGTATCAACTCTATATGACTAAACCTTTGTTCAATTCGTTATTTAATATCGGTGTATGGTGTTCAAAATTTATCTCAACTTTTTCGTTACCCGGAATAATAATTCTGCTTCGCAGCAGTACATTAACAGGTAGGCAATTTACCTGCGGTAGACCCCGTGCTGTTTGTACGTAACTTTAAAATTTAACTCTGAAGTATCAAAGTTATACTAAGTTTGTCGTTTTTACTTAATTAAAAAAATTATCGATTTCTGTTGTATCTTATTTATATTATTATACTTCACATTATTTAATATGGGTCGCTTATGTTCAGTATTAATAATATGCGACAGTAGATTAAATAAAAGTAATAACGAAAATACCTACTACTTTTTTTTGATTGCCAAAGGAAGAATTATCTATCCGTAAATCGCAGACAAATATTGTTAACAATTGGAATGGTAATAAGTAATAACCCAAATGTTTCGTACAATCGTACTTATCACTTATGTCATAAACATTTTAGTGATGAGATTTTTTCTTTGAAAACAACCAACATTTACTTGCATTTCCATGTGCTAATCACAAAAATTAATTTTTTTTATTTAAAATTACTTATTATGTTACTATGATAATACACAACATTCACGTATATCCAACCAAAAGCAAGTCAAAAATCACTCAAAATAAAAAACTTTCTACATTGGTTGCAACCATAGTTGTAACGTAGTAATGCGCATTTATTTGAAACAAATGCAGTTTAGTTCCCAAGCGTTTTTTTCGATTTTTTTCCACCCAAAATGTGTATTTTAAAGCACTGAATACATAAGTCTAATTCCAAAATTCTCGCAAACCATTATTTTGGAAGTTATACCAAAAAAACTATAAAATAGTAATTTCTTCAAAAATACGTGATATCTACGATAAAAACATCAAAAAACTACATTTTGATTTTTTTTTTTTAATTGTATGTTTTTATGATGGATGGAAATATGCATAAAGATTTTAACTATCGTACTTGCTGTTTAAAAATTCAAAAAATAGAAAACAAAATTTTTTTTATTTTGTCAATCGTTACTTCCATCCGTTTCAGAAGACGCTTCATCATCACTTACCAATAAATTATTTTCTTGTATCGCTTTTGGGTCATACAGCTCAGAGCTCACCAGCAAGTTAAAAAAATTCCGTCAGAGGTTCGATATTTAGTATACGACACTTTTTCAGAAACATAAACTTAGCTAAATATCCACCATAAAACCGTTTTTTGCGACAATATTAAGAAAGCGAAGCCTTGGCGTGACGCCACATTCCCTCAACATTATTTGTGTGAGCTCCTGTTTCCGGATTTTTGAATTGAATAGAATGATTCGCACCGTTAGGTGAACAAATCCTTCATCTTCCAAACATTGATAACTCTAATAAAACAAATTAACACAATATTACAATTTACAACTCGGTATCACAATATCCCTCGGCGATACTTGTCGGTTATCGCGACTACCGTAAAAATTATAAAAAAAACTGTTATAAAAACTAGCAATAATTAATAATTCACTTTAGGAGGGAAATGCTCAGACATGCAATTTAAAATATCAATTCATTGATAAAGTGTGTCAGTTATGCTATGCTAGCGGCACTCGTCGCTACGCTCCTCAGCGCCGTCGCTCCGCTCCGCTAATCGAAAATGTCCCCCGACTTGCTGTGCAAAACCACCTGATGTAGGAAAGCAAAGTGTACAGAGTTTCGCGCGCATGCAAACGTAAATGAGTAAAATCGTAAACTTTGGTAAGTTATAACTTCCAAAATAATGATTTTCGAGAATTTTGGAATTAGACTTTTGTATTCAGTGCTTTAAAACACATATTTGGGGGGGGGGAATCAAAAAAATCGCGTGGGAACTAAACTGCATTTATACCAATAATTATTATATTTAAATATTTTGAATTTCAGATTTAACTATGATAAAACTATACTACAATTATTATCGTACATGCTGAGAATGAGTCTACAACTTGTAAAGATTGTTTAGAACTCACTAACGGTTAGTGACTAACCTATTTTTATCTTTAATATTGTGTAAGTATCAACAGTTTTGTAAATAATACGCTTCGGGGCAATACCGATGGGGCAAAATCGATTGTTTATTAGTTTATTCTTAGTTAGGTACTCATCGATATCTATTGATTTTAGATTTTAGGTTAGACTATAATAGTAGTATAATAGTTACCTACATGTTTTTTGTAACTAATCATTCAACTTTATTAAGTACAACTTAAATATTTTGTATATATTATTTTAATACCCACTCTATTAATAAAAATGGTTCGAAATTACATCAGAAAATCAAGTCGGCAAAATTGGTGTGTGGATAACTTAAGGCGTGCAATCGAAGATGTAATCCACAGCTAGTAATTTAAGCTATATACAAGAGCCACTGACCAGTATAATGTTCCATATTATACTACATTGTATGACTATTATTTTTTTTATTACTATGAAATTAACATATATGTTTACCTATAAATATGTTATTTAAAAATGTAAAATTTAAATCATCAAGATTGATAGGAAATTGCATATTGTTATTACTTATTAGGTAGGTACCTATTTTGATTACTATACGATTTAATTAAAACTGTTAGAAATTATTATAAAGACTGGGGAATAGGTCATTATTACTTAAAAATTAAAGTGATTTTAATTTTGGTTAATATAAACTTTAGTTTTGTCATTATCTAAATATGTGGTGAATATTTTATTGAGTTTAAAACAATTTATTAAAAATCAAGATGGATTTAAGGAATTCAAGTTTGTTTTTATTTTGGTTTGATTGCATTTTAATAAGTTATTAATGTCTTAAATTATACAAGCAATTTGTGAGCTTATATTACTTTTTATTTTATTACTTCATTGCAATATTTAATTACAATGGTTATTTGTTTTTGTTAATTCTTTTGAAAAAAACCTTGATATTATATTTTTTTCCATCATTATTTAAGTACCTACCTGTTATCCAATGCATCGGTATTGCCCCATTACAAATCAAAGACAAAACAAGATAAAATGTTAAAAAAAGTTAATGGCTTGTTAAAAAGTAAATATGAATGATATTCACTGTGTTGTAATTCAATATTGTAAACAAGAAGTTACTTAATACAGCTGTGCAAGCAGATCAAGTTTATTTTAAGGGGCCTGCTCGCGATTTTTCAAATTTTCCGCAATTCTATAAAATTTGAAAATTAAATTTTATATTTTAGTTGCCACCTCAATTATAAGACTTTTCCACTAATCTACTACCCAATACCTATTTAGGGGGGGTTGATAGGGTGTATTATATCGGTCAAAACACAGTTTACAGGAAAAACTCTCACACCTCGTAGATTGGTCCGATTTCCGTAATTTTTTTTTTGTTAGATAGAGGAATATTTTTTACAGGGCGCATTGGACTTCGATTTTTGATTACGTCGCTAAAAACAAAAAATAATACAAAAACTAAAAAGTTGTAAAAATTGATTAAATTCAAACTTGTAACATAAGACTTAGAAAAATAATGTTAAAAATCCAAGTCCAATGCGCCCTGTAAGAAGTCTTCCTCTATCTAACAAAAAAAAAATTACGGAAATCGGACCAATCTACGAGGCTTGAGAGTTTTTCCTGTAAGGCATGTTTTTGAGCAAAAAAACAGATCGCGTGCAGGCCCCTTAAGATCCTGAATTATTATGAAATTATTCATTTTTTCGGTCGGTTTTGCCCCGTGTTCCCCTAATTGCATATTTTACCATTTTTTATTTATAAGTGCATAATTTATGTTTTTTCTCTTTTTAAGCGCATATTTGAAGGCCGTTATATAGCAAAATGCAGTAGTTGCACACTACAAAAAAACGAATCCGGTAAAATTTTTTTGCCAACTTCAGAACAGTTGGAGAGGGCTAACATTTCAACTATTAGAAAGTTATTTGATAAATCAATGAATTTATCATGGCCAAACGGTGTACTTCATGATAACGTCTTATTATTTATAACTGACACTGCTTGCACCATATATGGTAATAGCAGCCAGTAGTTTAAAAGTTTTGTATTCTAAGATGGTACATGTGACATGTTTAGCACATGCACACCACTGTTGCAAAACACACGCTAGTGTTAAAAAAGTTGAAGAATTAATATCAAACTATGCAAAAAAAAGTATTTTTAAAAGCACCAATTAGAAATGTAGAATACAAATATTTAAAAACGAAGCACCCGCAGTGCCACTTCCCCCAACACCTGTAATAACACGCTGGGGAACTTGGTTGGATGTGGCTGTTTATTATGCAGATCATCTTACTGATATAGGTACTCAAAGTTTTTGACAGACTGGATCCAGAAGATGCTGTAGCCATACAAAAATGTCATACACTTTTGAATGATCCATCTATAGAAGTAAATTTAGTATACATTCAAATTTGAAATTTCAATCGAACTATGGGTTTTTATCGGTCAATATAACTCGTCTTGAATCATCTGGGCAGCTTTTGTCAGGAGCAATATCAATAGTCAATAATACAACAGATGACATTAACAAAGCCAGTGGACAACTCGGTCAAATCGGCAACGAAATATATAGTAAAAACGATTCCGGAGAAAAACAGTGAATTCAAAACAGTATGCCAAATTTCAAAAGTATACTTACCTAATGGAGAACTTGAAATCATTGAGGGGATCGAAGAGGAATTAACTGCGGAAGATTTTGTTTTTTTTTTTAAGTTTTCACCAATTACCTCTGTTGAAGTAGAGAGGTGACTATTATTATTTTATAAATTTATATTAAATTATAATTTATAATAATTTAAATAAATACAATTTTTTACATAGATTTTTCGTTTAATAGATTCATCAAAAACGTATTAGCACCAAACAGACGAAGATTTACAGCGGAACATTTAAAACAAACTTTAATTATTCAATACAACTCTTTTTAATTTTTTTAGATTCTGAGTGGAGCAGGGCGAAGCTATTGGTTTTACAATGGTGTTTATTTTTTTATATAATTTATACAAAATATCTACCGACTACCAGAAGACTACTTCGATTTCAACATATAGTACCTTATCTTTTAGCAAATTGGATCAAGATGGTACTTTACAGAGGTCATTTTTTGATTTTCTCAATATTTATTTAATTGCACAGGAAAAACCACCGACAAATTACGAAAAACCGCTAAAAATGGGATTTTTATTTGTAATGCTTCGTTTATCAGTTATCACCATAGAAACGAATAAAAAATAATAATACCTATTATGATATAAATTCAACTTACAGGATTTAATAAATAATAACAATATCCAGACTGATAAAAACCGTCTCCGCCCAGAATCGTTTTTCTTATACAGTGGTATTATATCATTGAATTCAAGTTTAGTACAATCCTTTATACATAATTGACCCAATTGTAACCTACTGTACATCAGAGAGGGCATGTACCAATTCCCCCCAAACTACCTAGAGCAAAATGTACCAGTTGCCCTCATATGTAAATATATGTACGATTAAAATATATAGCCCATTAATATACAAATAATAATTATAAGGGGGGACGAGGTGGCCGAGCGGTCTAACCCGTCGGCTGCGGTGCTGGCAGTCGCGGGTTCGATTCTCGACCACCGGGCGGCATTTTTCTCCGGGCAAGCCACGGTGTCCGGAAAACAAGTGCCGCCATCCCCCAACTCTAGGGCATGGCAGAAACCTACGGGTGCCCCCAATAAAAATTCTGCCACCACAAACACACGTGTTTACAAACCAACAGTTCCCTCCCCTAAAAACTAACAAAACAGCTAATGACCATAGTTGCCGGACTTAATGATCAATGAAAAAAAAAAAATAATTATAAATAGTAATTATTATAACAAAATATAGTACATAATATTATATCTAATTAATTTACTATTTTTTTTTTTTTTTAACACTTATCACATTGAATATGCCGCTTTTCATTATAATTATATTATTTATTATGAATTTTTTCTATCATTTTATACTTTTTTTTTTTTTAAATTATAACATTGAATGTCACATAATTATAATATTTATTATTTTATTGACTATTGTATTCGTATTATTATGTTAGAAAATTATTATTTATCACAAAATACAATATTAGGTATACATTCCAAGCATATGAATTTTTTCTATAATTTTATTACTATTTTGAATAATTTTATTTATTATTTGTATATTTAAATCCCTTATTTTATGGGCTATATAGGTATTGTAATTGTGTATTTAGTATATATTAACATATTGTAAGGGCAATTGGTACAATCGGTTGGGGGCAACTGGTACATTTGGTTGAGGGCAACTGGTATATTTATAAAATCCTGATAACAGCCGTGCGTTAATACAACATCCAGCAGAGCGACATCCACTTACCCAATTTTTAGAACCTGAACATTTAGGTGAATTTTTTGCCACACATTTAACTTCTATACAACCTGAAATGGCTAAAATCCAAATATTTTGTGATTATTTGGTAGACACTTATATTGATTATGATTCTGATTTCCCGCCTGAAATATGGGCTACTTGTATTTCTTGAATATATTAGCCAACGAATGCGTGTGGAAGTTCTCATTCGAAATTCAATTCACTATTTTACACTTCGCATCCAAGTATATTTATATATTTTTTGAAATTTAAAAAAAATGCCAAACAGATGCTAAAATTGAAATCCAATTAATAGTTTGTACTTTTCGGGAAACAAATAAGTAAATTCATAAAAAAAAATTATAGAAACCCAAATTACAAAATTAAAAATCTTGGAAAAATCTGATTTTGATTTTGTAAAAATGATGAGTTTTAAAAATCAACCACTAACACTATAATTTAATACTAAAGTTATTTTACTATTTGACTATTTATTAATATATTATTAAATTTATTAGTAATTTATTTTATATTTTATTTTATTTTTTTCAGTTTTTTCAATTTGTCTATATGTTTATTGCAATTTTTGTCCAATAATTTCTTTATTTTTTAATGCATATTTTTCAAATTTTTCATGCATATTTAGCTGGTTTTTAGTGCATAAGTGCATATATTACATTCATACTTTTTTTAGTGTATAAATATCCTAACCCTAGTAATCACATTTCAACATTTAATGAGAAAATATTAAAAATATTAAAATAAAATTGGAATTATGGGATGCATTAGTTTAATATAAATAGAATAATATCTTCCTGATTAACTGATTGTATTTTATATTATACATTTTAACATACATGCTATAAAAATATCATCAATATACAGTATGACCGTATAGCTATAATATGTTGTATATAATATATACATTTATACATTATACATATACGACATACATATTATATTATAATGAATTCTTATATTCTATATAAAAAATATACTGAATTATTGAATAATGAATATTATAATATTGTACATTAATACTTGGGTATGATTCCAAGAAATTAATTTTTCAACACAATAATCTATTAATATCTGTTATGTTTCAATAAATTGTACAAATTCCAGAAATAAGTAGAATATCATAAAATATAACATATTAAAAACAATTTGACGGGACAACCCAAATCACAGCCCACAGAGTTTGTGAAAGTACCTAATGACACCAGTCATTTCCTATTATTATTAAAAGTAGTACATAAGTATATATTTTTATGTTCATTCAATAAGAAGTTTGGTATCCCTATTAAAAATCTGTCTTTGTTTGATTCAGTAATAAGATAAATGAACAGTGGTATTTAACTTTTCTAGATTGCTATGGAAGAATAGTATGAGACAAAAGTATACTTAAAGAGAAATGTACATTTAATGAATCATACTTAAAGAAGTAGTGAAACTTATAATAACATTAATGATTTATTTTCTTATTATTTATTAATGGATTACACAATGGATTTAAACTGCAAGTAATTAAACAAAATGACAAACACAATCTTTTATTGTTATTTTTTGCAAATGATTTATAGCAAAAAACTAAGGTTATTAATTTTACAATGATATCATTTTATCATTATTTTCTTCAGTTAAAACTTTTTTTGATTGAAAATTCTTTAAAAAGATAATTTTTCATTATTCTGAAGACTCTTTAAATTATACTGACATGAGGAAAAATGAATGGCAAGAGATAATCAAAAAAAATTTGAAAGATTTCATAGTGGCAAGTGGTATAGTTTTTAGTCATTGGTAGCGTCCAAAGTTAATAACATCACAATTTTCAAATATTATTAATTATAATCCATTTGTCCATATATTTTCTAATTATGCAAATTAAAATTAAGTTTTGGTAAAGTTATTTAGGTAACATATAAGTCTTGACACACCACTCATTATACGAGTATAATACTACTTAAAAATACATCAAATTCAACGAATCATTAAGAGCCACACAAAAATTTAGAATGGTGATGAAAATGCTGTTCCATGAAACTTGAAATGAAATAAAATCCGTGATCATATCCTTCTTCTATATTTACAGAAATTTCAATCCCTGCCTTTTCACAAGCGCTTACAAAATTTTCCAATTTTAATTGTTCGGCATATTTATCATTATTCCCCTACAAAAAAAAAAATGTATTCATTATGTATTATAGATATTTATACATCATATGCTTTTAAATTGCTTAAAAAAATTAATTAAAACATTTTTAATATAATATTTAATTTAACTTTACTTGATGTATGAGGATATTCAACTCTGGTCCCTTATAATCAGCTACTAAGCAGGTAGCATCCCATTCCTCCATAGTTTTTGTATCATCTCCAAAATAACACTTTAATATAAATTGTATATCGGGTGTCTTAGATGGATTACAAACCGGAGCTAAAGCTGAGACTGAACGAAACTTGCCAGGATTTTTAAGTGCGCTTATTAATGCACCATGGCCTCCCATGCTAAAATATAATTATTTATTACATTTCTATACATAAAAAATTATTTAATAAAATTGAAAGCCTTATTCATAGTCGATGCTTAAGAATAAGTATTGCTTAAGCTAATTTATTTTGATAAATTATTTAAAAATTAAAAAAATTGTGATAATAACTAAAAGCAATGTCTCAACCAACCTGAAAATCAGTAATACTCTTTCTTTTATTAAGCCTAAGTCTCGTTTATGAATCTCATAAATCATAGCTTAAGCAATACTTATTTTTAAACATTGACTATGAATACAGCCCTATGAATTGAAAATATAATAGGTAATACTGATAACTGATAAATAGTAGGTACCTACACTTATGTATTATAAATAACTAAATAATTAATGATTAAATTTAATTGATCTTATTTTTCTTAAGCTAGGTACCTATGTGATTAACAATAAAATACGTCTAATTTCCCTTTTTACTATAGTACATAAGGCATAGACATCAGGGTCCTATACAAAGGGGGTTTATAGGGGATCAAATCCCCCTCACTTTCAATATGGTTAGTATATAAATGTATTGGCATACACTCATAACTAAAAACATATTTTAAAGTATTTTTTTGTGAACAATGATTGACATAAAAAATGTATTAATATTTATAAATATACCTGTGACCCATGATTGACTGTCTGTCTTTGTTGATATTAAAGTTCTCCTGAATAATACTCGGTAGCTCTTCATTCACATATGAATACATTTGATAATTCCTGTTCCACGGTTTTTTTACAGCATTTACATAAAATGACAAACCTTTAGCTTCAATTTCATTCTTTTCAACACCAAAAGTCACCCCTGAAAACACAAGTTAATATTTGTGATAACAGTTTATTTATTATTACATTATTAAAATAGTCTATAAGTTAGACATTCTTACTAGGGCAGACGTCAGGTGACACTACGATTATTCCATAATGTGCTGCCCATCGTTGAAACCCTGACTTCTGTATAAAAGTTTGTTCGGAACTTGACATGCCCCCCAAAATATACAAGACTGGAGCAGGGCCTTCCAAATTGTCTGGTACATACACGGCAAATTTCATACGGAAATTTAACACTGCACTAAAAATAATAAGAGCACATTTCAGTTAATTAAATAATTACCTAAGTAGATAATATCTTGGTCGGGGATCCCAGGCTTGGGAGTATAATGCTTATGGTAACGAAAATAGCACAGTCAAACCAGTAATGTCCTCAAACCAACAGGAAAGAGGCAAAGAGGACGACCAAGAAAAAGGTGGATAGATGTAATGGAGAATAATTTTGAAATAATAGGAGTTGAAGAGTGGAGGAACATATAATTCAGGATCGGAAAAAATGGCGCGAAGTTACGATGGCGTCAAAAACTCCAATATCAAGAAAACTACTAGGACTTTTTGCTTTTGAATAGCTCCGCTTAAAATCTAAAATATTTATCGTTATTGACGAAAAAAATATATTATTAAATAAAAGGCCAATTAAAAACACGATGTGGAATAAATTGAAAAATAGATTAAACAAATTGTAACGCGAGTAAAAAATTATAACATTGTATAAGTAATAGAAAAATAAGGCCATAAAATACTCAAAATTGTGTAGGTGCCTACCGAGGTTATAATTATAAATTACTACCAAATAGTATTCTTACATTTTTATTTTTTTAACAAATTATTTGAAATTTCTAAAAATATTTATAACATAATATAGCAATTAGCAGTGTGCACAGACACTTTTAGAAGAGTTATATACTATAGTTTCACCTATTATCATTTATCTGTGTAATAACTAATAACTATAATGATGATAATATAAATTTACTTCCGCATTACCTAGCGGCTAGCTGAGCTAGTTCAGTAATTAATGAATATTTCTCCAAGAAATGCAACTAGAATTGTAAATAATCTAACTAAATCAGTTATACCTATGTACTATGTACATAGGCGCAATTTTAACTTTTGGCTTGGGGAGACTGAAAATATTAAAATCAAGCAAACCATTGCAATAGGTATAGCATATTAAAATTGTATGTCCTAGGTTTTTGGGGGGGGGGGGCTACAGCTAAGTTTGGGGGTGCTTAGCACCCTCAATTTACACCTATGCTTACGTATACGGTGTAGGTATAGGCGAGGGTATAGGTACGTGGCTATACGTATAAACGTATACCACTATATTATTCATCAATAATATAAGCTATTTACAATTTATTTGTATGATAAATGATAACAATAAACTCGTTTTATCATCAGATTTTGGACATGTTTCCTCATCATTTTTCAACACTGTTATATCAATAATGGAATTCATATTGGTGGCTGATAATATAAAAGATCCTAAATCTATAATGACAATGAACAAACAAACGAATATTATGTTTATTTTCTTAAGTAATCTTTATATGGACTAATTTTTTTTCGCTGAACGAATTCATTTTTTGGTTAGATGTCATATAAAACTATATAAAAGTCATTACTCATTACCCAATACCCGTAAAATAGATGAAAACATTATTAAAAATTGTTTAGGACGTTAGGTACTTAAACTATAAGATAAAATATAATATATATTACATTCACTATGTACGTATATTATCTATATAGGTAACGTTTAAGTGAATTTATTAAATTTTACAATTAAATAGAGACATAATACTTTTTAATATTTTCTAAGGTATAAGCAGCCAAAATTATATACTTTCTATTATTAGATATATATTTTACCAATGAATGTTGAAATGTAAAGTCATAATATACGTAAATACGTTATGCAAGTATGCAAATATCATGCAACTCAATATTGAGTAATACGGATCAATCAAGTCATTGTTATTTATTTTTAGAGAAATCACTAAAACTTAACACATAAGTTCATTAATGACAAATTACGTTTCATTTGGCTTAATTATAGGTAGGTACCTTCAGGCTTCAACCAATATTATTTTGCAAGTCAGACAAAAAACGTTAAATGTATGCAACTTAGTAGTTTATTTATTACAAAAATATTGTCCGTAATTTGTATTAAACCAATATTATAAGATCTAAGCGGGATGCCAAACGCCAAAGGTACGAACTACCTACCACGAACGCCATCTCGTATATTATATACGTATAGATGGAGCGGAAATGCGTACCACATTTTCCCCTTAGGTTACAGATGTTTATATTACTATTCTGACGTGCATTCAGTTGTGATTCAGTACCTCTCTCACGCACGATGAAATCGTGCCTCTCACGTGACCCTCAAACACAGATAATAAAGATATTAGATAAGTAATCATTATTTATGCCACACAACTACAGCCTTAAGATAAGGCTCTTTTTTTCACTTTCCAATTTCCAATCTATTCCACCCAAGTCCGTGGTAAGTGTTAACCAACTATACTAGTTAGATTAATAAAAAATATTGATTCGTGATTGAGAGACATGAGTATTAAGGCGGTTCCAGTCGGAATTTTCTGTCTGTTTCACACAAGCGCAACATAGGATTAAAGACGTGTTCTATCGTGTCCTATTGACAACGTACCGATTAATCTAGTGAAGCGATAAGAAATATGAAAACAAATTTGAATTCAGCATTAAGTCTACAAAGGAATCTACGCAACACTTTTTGGAATTTATCTTTAGGTTTTTTGTAATGATAAATTAAATTATCAAAAGTTTTAAATTATTTTTTTTTAAATATTTCACTAGATTAATCAGTAAGTTGTCAATATAGAACAAGTCAATAATATATGTTGCACAAAGAAAGAAAATTCCGAATAGAACCTCCTTGAGTATATAATTTTTGACACGGCTATGCTATTTTACGTTATTAGGTATAAACACAAATGAACAATCATAAACAGAGTTTATATATATATATATTTTATTTTTTATTTAAACTTTTTTTAACGGAATTATGGCCCCATAAAAACATGTTCGTGTGAGGCCCCATAAAGACTTATCTAACAATGTTTTTCTAATTATTCCGTTGGGTATTTACATCGATTTTGTTTCCATAATACGCATAGTAGTACCTAGGTACCTACTTATAATAATATGTTAGAGTCTATAATATTTAACCATTAATTGTTGAACTATAATAGTTTATACTGAAAATTCTTAATAAAAAAAAAAAATAAGTATATTTAGCCATAGATTAATAAACAAAATTACATCTAACAACTTAAGCATTATTATGCCGGTTGTATAAACGATTTATAAACATTAAATTATCAATTTTTTAATTTTTATGCGACCTGTCATTAGAGACCATTTTACTATGAAAGAATTTTCATTAAATCCACTAATCCGCATAGTACAGATAAAGAAAGAAGGGAGGAAGGGAGAGAGAGAGAGAGAGAGAGAGAACGCGAAGAGATAAAAAAAGTGAAAGTGATAATATAATAGGGACTGGCGTTCTGTAATCTTTATGAGGATAATAGGTATTCGCACATTGTTGTAATTTCACTTTGATAAGAAAATATCAACATAATAATATTGTCGTTTCCTACGTTGGATGGATAATTTAGTATAAAATAAATGTGCAATAAACGGCGAAAAGTAACAGCGAAGGTTTTTTCCGTCGTCCGTTCCAATCGACAGAGATACGTGGTGATACGTGCCAAAAACAAAAGGAAAATATTCCGCCGACCACATACCTAGGTAGGTGCCTATTATTACCTACCTACCTATTATAATTTAAAGTAATGAAACGACTGCAGCACAGGCGCAAAACATAATATAATAATATACTCATAGTGTGCAGTACATTGATAATAATAATACGACGCAGAGCGTTGCTACCGACCTGTCGTGTTCGTAGACCTTTTGCTGTCCGCCGAAACAGCGGTTGTCCGACACCACGTCCAATTGCTGCTTCATGTTGTTGGACACCGCCGGCGTGACGAGCGCAACTGATGAAAATTCCGGTCCCGTAACGGCAGTGCGCACCGCTCGCTGGCCCTCGACTGAGCCGACTGCGCGAACTGAACCGCCGCCTGGCGCCTGCCGGACCCGATGGTGGGTGGACCGCGGACAGCCGATATCGGCGTCGTCGGGCGCACCGGCGCGCTGAATCGTCGACTGCCGAGGTCGTGCGAAAAATTATGACGTCGTCGGATCGTTGTCGGGTGGCGTAATAATATCGTACCGGCGCGCGCGCACCGTCGATCGATACGTGAAAACCGGTTATTAACGCGATAATGACGTAAGGCCGACGTGATTACACCAATAACCGTTAAAATCACAATATTCAGTAATCGTTTTTACACTTCGGCCGTCTATATGACACACGGGCAGCGCAAATTCATTTATCTTATCTACGGAGCAGCGTGAACGATCCGTGTAACGACATTATTATTATTGTGCGTCGTTATAAACTATAATCATTTATCAACGAACGTCGACGAGTGTCGACCCGCCACGTTGGCCCACGGTGGTCGGACGGAGCGGCTGTGCCACGACGACGTTTTCCGGTGACAGACGGCGGGGCCCGACTTTACGGCCTAATTTCTGAGTCCCGAGGTGCACTTTGTGTAATATGTTTTTTGCCGAATGGCGATATCTAAACGTTCATCGGTGTCGCGGTGTCGCGGGATGCCAAGTCGTCGGTATTACTGCCGCCACCTCCTGTGACCTATAATTTATAATACTAATAATAATAATAAGACGGCCCAGTTGACCTATAGTAGTATGGTCAGCGGAATACACGATCGATACGACTTTTATGATATTACAAAATAATATAATTATAATAATAATATTGTTGTTCTGTAGCCTGTAGGCGATCGATCATCGTTTTTATATAACTCACACGTCATCATATCGTACGAAAGTTTTCAGCCGATATACTTTCACACGTTATTAAACTTCCATAGTTCCGTGTATGTTTAAGTAGGTACAGACGTACAGTGGGAGAAACGATGATGAAAATAGAATATTTTTGCTAAATTAATCATACGAAAATCGAAATGATACAATAGTTCATGAAATGAATGTGAATTTTAGAGACTTTTATACTCTATGCCTCTGTATAGATATTTTAATATTACTTTAACTTAATTTCCGGAACGGTTCTGAGGGGGGAGGCTAAAGACAACAACGCGAATACCAGATAATGTGGTACCTAGGTGTTTGTTTTTATTACAATATATTAATTATGTAAACCAATATAGTTTGAAAATTGAAAGCTATCTTATTATTTTTATAGTCTCGTATGTCATCTCTATGACTTTCTATAATGTAATATCAATATAACGAATGTACGGTACCTATAAGGTCTTCCTGGTAGCAACCTATGTAAGTATATACTTGATATATACCCATATATTCGGTAAATTCAAATTCGTCAACCATATGCACCAATTATTGACCTTTAAATAAATACTAACTATCACCATGGCTAAATTCGTCACGTGATTTGTCCTATCAGTTACCAACAATTGAACTTCAGAAAGTTTAAATTTAGTTTACCCTTCAAAAAAAATATACTTGCATTAAACCACCACCACCCTACTGAAAAAAAAGACTAGCCACGTACATGCTTATTTTTTCTCCGCCCGGATGTGTGAACCCTTTATATAGTAGCCACTCAGGTTATCTCGCCGGCCGCCGCCTTCTAAATTAAAAAATATATCGGAAAAACGTTCTACAAAATAAATAATAATAATAATAACAAAAAGTAGTATATAAGTGAAAATAATTTGTTTTTTAATACGTATAATTATTATTATAATATATTTAAAACAGAGAATATATATATATATATATATATAATATATTAATATATAGGTAATAGGTATGTTACGGTGAAAGGTGAAAATTGGTCATTGAAGTCATTTACTAAAATTATCAGCTTATGGAAGTAAATGTTGTAACAAAACACATTTTAAAGTTTAAACTCAACTTTCGGTCGTATATCAATTGCGCCGAAATGAACTTTTCACCTGTAAGATATCTATCGATTGCGCCGCGTATCGACTCCGCTGAACTTTTATATAATTTTTTTATTGATTACGCCGACTATCAATCTGCTGAATATTTATAAATTATTTATTTTAATAATAACTATAACAAAATGTAAAAGGCTTACATTTACATGTAGGTATGTTAATGGTATTTAACGATATAAAATATGTTTTATTTCATTAGTAGTTAGTACACACTAAACACACTAATACTGTAATTATATGATAATTATTTAAATATCTGCAAATAGATAATAGGTACCCATAATTTTAGACTGTATATTTTATTATTCTTATATTATATAAATATATTAAAAAAATCACAATTTTACTTAAATTTGTAAAAATAACAATCACTAGGTAAGTACCTATTTGAGTTATATTATTTTATCATTTTAACAAATTATACATTGTATTTTATTTTATTGTATTTTGTTTTCCGCCATTTTATAAATAATATAATTTGTATGGGTAATTGGGTTATATTGTCCGTTGTGGACAACAATGTTTGAATTGTTTTTTTGAAATATTTGTATTTAAATAAAAAAAATGCATTTACTATTATATGGTAGTACATTATGGTGTGTCTGTGTCTATCTATACTGTTAATTAAAAAAAAAGTCGATCTGCAAGGTTACAAGTGGGTCACTGTGATGGATGGTGTTAAATTTGAATTCAATGATATAATATCATTGTATAAGAAAAACTATTCTGAGCGAAAACGGTCAGTCAGCCTATGATATTATAAAGTATATTTATTATTTGATGATATTATTGTGAAGAAAGTACTTTATATATAACCTATTTATGTGGCACCTTGTATTAAATTTTCAATCCTTAGCTATAAAAGTTGAACATTTTATACATTTTTAACTACAAAATAATTATTCAATTTTAAATTTGATACATTTTGTCAAAATTCGAAATTTAAATATTTATAAAAAAAAAATTGCGCTTATGTATTTTTAATATTTTTCAACTGCTATTGTAACAATATATCAGGAGCTTTGCATTGAATTTTTAACGCTTTTTTACCCAACAAACAAAACTGTATTGATATATTTTATAGAAAAAAAAACTAAAAAAATTGAAAAATCACAATGTCCGTAAACAACTTAAAAAGAGTCAAATTATTTTCAAAATTTTATAGTGTATAGAAAATGCTAATATAAATATTCGGTGAAATTTTCAAGTATCTACAGTCATTTGTTTTTGAATTACAAAAAAATAAGGAAATCGCTACATGAGAAATCGAGTGAATTTCCAATGTTGTAAAATTTGAATTTCAAACGCTCATAAAAATTTAATTTGACTTTCCGATTTTGCGTAAAAATTTCCGTTTTTCCTTAATTTTTATTCTGTTTTTCCCGGCGCTTGTGAAAAATACTTTCTTTTGACCCCCCCAAAGTACCAACTAGATTCACTTTCCTATCAGAAAAGATACTGTTGAAGAAAATCCAAGAACTTTTACTGTCATAAAAGGTGATGACAGACACAAAAAAAATTAAAAAAAAACACACATCATTGTAAAATCAAAACATTCATCGTTCCAATCGGAATCTAAAATTCTGTACAATATGATACATCGATCATTGTTTAATAAACTGTCATCAGAATCAACATAAATAAATATCTGGCAGAATCGATATTAAAACGGCGGAATAAGTATAAAGTTCTTGAAAAATTAATCTAATCTATAATTTTTATTTTTTATATATATAAAAGAACAGGCCTTTTTTATGTTCCAATTTTTTGACTACACTATTTAATATTTTACCAATTTGTATTCACAGAGTTGTTCCAAATACCTTCCTGGATGTCGCCGTGTAGCCCAATTTTTTTTTTTTATCGGAGGGGAAGGAGAAGGGAATCTATATATTTTATACCTAAAATCCAAATACCACTGACTCACTGATCGCTGTATCTCAAAAACTACTCAATGTACGAACTTAGAATAGTGGTTCTTCTAATACTTTCACAGTGCAATAAGAAAGGATTTGCATTTTTGCAAAATTCGCATTTTAAGAGGTGCTCAAACAGGGACATTGAGGTTCACATTGAAAAGTTTATTTTTAATTATTAATAGTTCCCTTCAATTAGTGTTTATTTATTATCGGTTGCCATTGTTTATTTGGAAAGATCAGGTGCAAGCTTGCATCAAATCGAATTATTGAACATTGCTTACCAAGGTGATTGGTGAAAAAGTGTCTCAAGTAGTCGGATTGCCTACCAGGTGGCTGTGTTTGCACTTACTGCAGGCTGCAGAAAGTTACACCCAAAAGTAGTTGAACAATCATACATTTTTAAGATTTGCGATTTTTTACGGGTAATGAAGTGAACGGGTTCTGATACAAAAATATATTTACCATTAATACCACTAGAAACATTTGAATACGTTTTCATTAAACGATACAATTTTAATAAAAAATTATACATATCATCGTCTGAAGGCAAAATAAACAACCAATCATGGGCGAAGCTGTTACGGGTCGGCTATAGTATAGTGTATATAATATACATATAACATATTAATATAAATATTACAGTTTCTAGTATTTACATCGGGCACTTGTCTTGGCACAAATCTTTTTAATTAATTTTAATAATATATGAAATATAATAATATAGGGGATATTTCGAAATATTTTTATTTTATAATATTTTATATATACCTAGTAAGTAGTATTTGTCATTATATTATTAAGTCATAATATTTAGTTATATAATCGGAATATGTAATAATATCAATAAAATAATAATTAGATAGCCATCGATATAATGTAGGTTTTGGACGGTAGTTGAGATAAACAACATGTATCCAAAAATCTACCCAACTGAAAAGCACGCGGTGAAGATCTTATTTACGAATTAACTAGCAAATTTGAATTTGAATTTTTATTAAATTTTTTTATGAATTGATTCACATTATCTCACTCAATATAGGCGCCACCCGACCTATTCACATTAATTATTATTTATTATCAATTACTTATTAGTTAAGAGCCATGTCTTTGATTTACCATTGTTCAGTTTGCAATTTACACAACAACAGTGGCGTGGTGAAGGGGTGAAGAGTGGCGTGGCTTGTGAAAAGGCGGCCGCCTCTGAGTTTTTAAGAAATGGTGAGTGGGTGGATAATGGAAAATGAGTAATAATTTTGTGTAATCAAGTATTTTAGTATTTAATAAGACAATTACTTCAAAATTTAACAGTAACAGCCCATGTCAACTGTCAAGTAATAAGTGGGTGGATGGGTGAGTGGAATATTAGACTAACCTCTGAAAAATGTCAAGTTTATCTCGCCATCGCACAACAATATACTCAATGTGAAATGACGAATTATTCTAGTTTTAGACACTGAAGCAGTGTTAAGATAGGTAATTATAATTATATAAATCATTAATTAATTAAATAATGAATTGCCTAATCATATTATAGGTATTTAGGTAGCTATTATAAACTATAAAATGTAATAAATTTACAATTATAATTTTATCGTTGTTGTTATTTATTTGAATAAGTAGGTATAGATAAAAAAAAACTTAATATTATGTAATATTTATACAGAGTACAAACTAATATAAATATTTAATACTAGCTCTAGCTGATCCCGTGCACTTCGTTACCCGTAAAAAGTATCAACTCTATATGACTCAAACTTTGTTCAATTCGTTATTTAATATTCAGTGTATGGTGTTCAAAATTTATCTTAACTTTTCCGTTGCCCGGAATAAAATTCTGATTTTCAGCAGTACCTATGGTTATACGACAAAATATCTCCATTAAAAATATCTCCATTAGGTATAAAATATCTCCGTCAAAATGATCTCCAATACAAAATATCTCCCGATTTATGCCATAGCTATCTGATAGAAAAAATGTTATTGACGCTGATACTGAGTGTACTTTGTACTTCCCTATCATGGTCCGCTTGGCGCTTACCAATACAGATTAAGTTGCAGATAGGTAATTTTATTTGATTAACCTAATCGATAGATACAAATTTAGACGAGAGAGCCGGAACTGTGTCACACACTGACACTGCGTGACATTGGTTTGTGTTACGTGCTATTACCTAAATATGCCTTTAAAATTTGTTAAAATTAGCTACGAAACTTGGTTATCCTATAAAATCGGCAAACATTACAATTCGTGGCGTCTCCGGGAACTCATGTACACCAATTGGTGAAATTACGGCTAGCATAAAATCCAGATTAAACGCGTTCGAAGCCAGTCTTCAGTTTTTTATAATGCAGAACGTGGCAGGTACACTACCTACAGTATATCCCGAAGAAAACACAATGAAGGTGATTAACAGCAAAGAATACGCAGATCCGGATGTATGTTCAACGCGGAAAATCAATATGATTGTGGGAACTCAAGTGTTCTTTCGACTTCTATGTATTGGACAAATTAGACCCGCAGGCACTGATGCCATTTGGCAAAAAACAGTTTTTGGTTGGATTTTGTCAGGGCATATAACTTCTACAAACCCAATGCACTGTTTGTCGGCGACAGCAAGCACACTCGATCCAATCCAAAGGCAAGTTCGAAAATTCTGGGAGCTAGAAGAGGGTCGTCGCCAGTTCAAGGGTTTTCAACGGAAGAAAAAAGATGTGAAGAACATTTTCTAAACACCTATCGGAGAGAGGAGAATGGTCGATTCACATTAGAATTACCGTTTAAAGAAAATGTAAGGCAGCTGGGAGAATCTCGAGTGATGGCGGAAAAGCGGTTTTATACGATGGAACAAAAAATTGATAAATATAAATATAAATCGGGAGATATTTTGTATTGGAGATCATTTTGACGGAGATATTTTAATGGAGATATTTTGACGGGTCACCGTACCTATATTATCAGGTAGGCAATCTACCTGCAGTAGATCGCGGACCCCGTGATATTTGTAAGTAACTTTATAATTTAACTCTTAAGTCTAAAGTATCAAAATTATATACCAAGTATGTTACTGAACTCCTCCTAAACGGTTGGACTAATTGTGAATGCTGAGTCTGTCGACTAATACTTTCTCCTCGTCCACAAATAAGTGGCATCGTGATTGTTTTATGTACCTACTATGTATGTAACTTATATGTGAGTATAATACGCTCAATATTTACGTAATTGTGATACATAACACAGCTTACAAAAAAATTAAATGCATTGAATGAATACACTTATTTCACGGCAACCAATAATAGTTTATAATTATTTTAAAACCCATGGCAACCATTTACAAACAAATATTTCCACCGTAAATCTCTAAATCCCCGTTTGAGCACATCCCCTGATTGGACATAGAGTGATGATTTGTAGCCTATGTCTTATTCTGATGTATAAGCTATATTATTGTAAAGTTTCATTAAAATCCATTCAGTAGTTTTTACGTGAAAGAGTAACAAAGTCACAGACTTTCGCGTTTATAATATTAATAGGATAACGCTTTAACATTTAATATGATATATAATATATTATATATATATAATACAATTTAAATTATAATTATCGTTTTGACCTCTAGCTTATGGTATATACTATAGAGTATATATATATAGACTATAGTCTATAATATATTTATATAGTAGTATAAAATAATATTATACATTTACAACAGTCATCATTCATCATTTTTTTATTTCAACGAGTCAAGCCAATATTATGTAAAGCAGTAATTATTATGAAAATCTACACAGTGTATGAAAATAGAAAGAAAAATAATAATGGTTGAAATAACTAGTGGTAAAATATGCAAATTGAATAAACCATATTAATAATTAGCAGTAAATTACAACATTTTAACGTAAAGTGAAAAACACGTGATGTTAATGATGGTAATGAATTATAAATGCAAAAATATTGATATTTACTATATTTAGTATTTACAGTACGACAGAACGCATTAATCAAATTATGGAGTATTATAAGCTACACTAAATTAATAATTCTCTACTTTGTCATGACCTCAGTGGCACAACCGACATGCAAACTGAAAAATTGGGTAGGTAGGTACCTATTTCATTCAGTATTTCCGGATCCCAGTTTTGAATGCCCCAAAGCCTGGGCAGCTGCTAAACAATAGAAATTATCTTTTTAAAAATGTATAAAAAAATCGAAGATTAACATGCATATATAATAAAATTAATAGCCAAAAAAATAATATTAGTATTAAAATAAATAGTATGATAAAAGGTCGTATAATCTTTCAAACATATCACATTTTTAATATCGAATGAGGCGCAAGTTAAATTCAACACTTTGAAATGAAAGAAAATAATTTTAATTTTATAATTTTGTTTATTTGGGAAACATTTAATTTAATAGTTTTATAGGTTTTATAAAATAAATGATAATTGACATTCGACAACCATTTTTATATACATAATATAATATAATTCTTGAGTGTATTCTATTTAGGTTCCTGTAACTTTTTAACGACTTTTGGTTTCAATTGTATAATAAAATATTTAAATTTTTTTATGTTCGTAATTGTTTGAATTAGGTTTTTACGGAAAGAAAAATTAAAAAAATTGCAGAAAGTGGTCCTCCAAAAATATTTTGAGATTTACAATAAAAATCAAAAATTATTTTGTTTACAAATGGTTACATATTACAGATTATAATAGTTATACTGTTATAGTCTAAAAATAATTATTGGAAATTAGTATTTTTTTTACATAATATATAAATGTTACCACTGGTTACTCGGGCTAAAGATGAGATAAAAGCATGCATCATAATATCGTACCTTTATAGTCTCGAAATTATATCTTCAAAGAAATAGAATTCAAAGAATTGAATGTATGTTTGCAGCTTATATCAGGGGCGTAATTTCAACTTTTTTTTTGTTGGTGCCAAAATGTTTGCAGGCGATTCAAATCATTACCAGGCCACATAGAAAATTTTTTTTGAGGGGGCGGGGTCAAGTGGGGAAAAAAACTGTAGAATATTTGTATAGCTTATTTAATATGTCACGTATATTAGTACGAAAATATCACAATATTGTTCTTATTTTTGACAAACTATGTGTAGGTACTTTTAATGTATTTATGTAAATTGTGGATACCAGTGTTACAGTACAGGGGTATTTACACATGGTAAATAAATGTATGGTTATAGAAGTATAAAATACCCAACCGAACCTAACCTACACATTTTTTCTCCCTGCATACTCAAATTATATAATAAAGCTAGCTTAATAAAACCAGAATTTTATTTTATGGGTACCCTTCTTCACAATATTTGGGGACCACAAAAACAAATCAAACATTCTTGGAAATTAAACATTAGTACAATATTTTTTTTTAATACAGAATAAATATAAAATATATATAATATAAATTATAAAACACTTAGGTATATTGGCGCTTATGTTCATTATTACCGCCAAAGAAGGCGTTTTAAAGAAAAATTGGTGCAAATGTACACCCTGCACCCCCCCCCCCCCAAATGACTCCCCTGGCTTATATATCTACTTAAAAACCGATTTTGTGAAAATTTCAAATTGTTCTTAGAGATATATCAGGAAAGTTTAGAGAGTAGTTTTAACTTTTAACCACTTTCAATTTAAACCAAGTGCTATATATCCGATATTGTACAGGCAAATTATTTGATTAAACGAGGTACACGAACGTCGATTTGCCAACATGAATTGAGGTACACTAATAAAACCAAGGAACACCTATAGCACTTTATTTTTTCAGTGACGAAGTTCAGTTTTACAGCTAAAAACGGATGTCGGTTTGTCTGAAGTTGTAATAGACTCAAAAACCATTGGACCTCTTTCAATAACAGCTTAACTACTCCTAACCTAACCTATACTATACTGTATAGTGTATAGCTAATATATTAAGAAGAGCTTACACAATAATATTTATTCAGCTCATGACAAATATATTTTTTTTGTTTATTTAAAGATTGACATTGGTTACATATTACATGACTATTATAATAAATAGTATAAATATGGCATAATCCACATTTTTTCACAAATATAGGTAGGTATTTCTAAAAAAAAACAAATCTTTGGCACGGCCAACGCCGGGTGGGACAGCTAGTATATTATATATTATAAATAATATCTTATATAATATCTTATAGGTATAATAACTAATATTGTGTATGATATCTTTTTTAAATCGTTAACTATACTTGGTTGAATAAATTAAAAATTATTCAAGGTTAAATAAAACAAACCTACCAAGGAAAAACGGTCGAACCGTGTCTATCCATTCTGATTGTACATTTATACGAATGAAACACAAATAAAAAATTGGGCCCCAATAGCTTCTGCTGCATAATTGTATGACTCATCGTTATTTTATATTCCCTAAAATAGATAAAAAATAATGCACTACGAAGTATACTTAATCAAAATATAAATACCTACAATATTTAATTTTTGTAGAAGTGCATCTATACAAATCGTTAGATTAGTGATAATATGCGCCAATCAATTCGATGTAGGTATAGGTAATAAAAAAAAAGAAACAATTTGGTAAAATATTATAAAACGTTGTACGATGATAAATAATAATTCACTTACGACTTACACGTGTCCTGAGTAAACACGACGACTACGAAAAAACATATTTTATTTCATCACATCGGACGTAATTCGTAGCCTGTTCCACAGAATTTTTTCTGTGCCTCTTCATAGAAATCGTTCCTACTCGTATTTATCGTGGGTACTGGTTACGTATAAGGGACACGGGTACACGGTATTATTGTAGTATTACAAATGTGTAATAATCAGGGCTTCATGCGCTAAAAAATGCATAAATAAGCATGCATTCACTAACTAAAAATTGTCAAAATATGTATTAAAATATGCACTAAAATTTCGAAAATATGCATTTATATGCCCTAACATTTTTAAACTATGCACTCAATAATCAAAATATGCAATATGTAATAAAAACATGACCAAATTTTAAAATAATAATAAATCCAAAGAGCAACCTGGGGTATAATGGCGCACCTAACAGATTTTAACAGCTGGTATGTGGTATAGCATACAAGTTTTAGAAATATTGTTATATTGTTTTCCTATCATAAATATTACGTAGATTTCAATTTTCAGGTCAACATTTAATTTTATCAAAGCAAATACCAAAAACTCTGAATAATTAAAAATTATAACAAATGCGTCTTTTTACCCCGTTATTGGGGTAAAAGTGCGCACCTAATGGGGTAATAGGCCGCATGCTAAATTAATTCATATAAATCTATTTTATGAAAGAATGTTATCTATTTTATTTTTATCAAATAATAAGTTACAAATATATATAATATGCATGCATAATATAAAAGTTCCTAATATAATATATAATTAATACAGTATTAGTAGTAAATACTAAGTCGAAGTAATTTTTTTAAGTAGGTATAATTATGCAATAAAATATTACATAATATTATTTAATCATTTGTTGATACATCGTAGATATAATGTACCTATTAGTTTAAATGAATTAATAAATAAATAGATTTAATTAATTCAATTTCTAGCTAGAAAATTAAATGTTTATAAAAGTAGGTAATCAATTATCATATAAGAAATACTGCCCACTCTTACCCCAAAACCCACTAAGCCATTTTACCCCAATATGATTTTCTGCATAAACAGTATTGTAGTATA